ACAATATCATTATATTAGTTCATATCAAAACAAATATCGAATTGAATTATAGGTAAACTAATTGTTATATACATATGATTATAATTGGAGCCAGCAAACAATTAGCTAATTAATTTATTACCAATGTTGCCATTAAATCTTATTCCGCATAATTCATTAAATAAATTTAAAACACATTATATTAAGTTGGACACATTACCGTATACAAAAAACAATGAAAACCATAATAAACCACATTATCGTATTAAATTAAAATAATATATTTCGTTTATAAAATTAAAAAATTCCAGGATTAAAATGTTTTATTACATTACAGAAAGAGCTCTGTTTCTCGGTTACTTCGCTCGCACGACCCATTTAATTCATGGTACGACTATGCACATTTAATGTAGGGAAGAGATGAATATCGAAAAGTTTTTATTTACTGTTTAATTTAAAAGACAGATATTGTATATCAGAGTGGTGCACAGTATAGTAATTACAAGATGGTGCTTTAAGAAACATCCTGTAAAATGATAACCATTTATAAAAATGACATAGTTAAGAATATTACCTCGAAGTCCAATTCAAATTCCTGTCCTGTCAGTTTATATAACAAACCACGCACGGCGCCATCCTGAATATCACATCAATGTACATAACATAATTATGATTGATAGGGATCACATTAAAAGAAAATTTTTTTTCATTCAAGAAAAAAAAATAATCCTTTAGCCATTGTATTCTACTCTACATCATGTTTTACTCACCGAACAACGGGTCACAACCAAACAATTGAATTCCTCCACAATATCATTCGCTGGTAATTTGAGAGCTACCGCGGAAACTTTTGTGGTTTCGGGCGTGGTTATCAGCTATAACATAGTTAAATCTTATTAAATCGTATTAAATCAAATTAAAGGTTAAAATTCATAGATGTATTTCGAAATTATCAACTGGTAAGAAATTATTTTTATGTAAATATTATCTACCTTATATCCCGGGGCACATGCTTTACTTAGTTTTTAATTTTAATATTACGAATACATTAGGGATTTTTTAATTATTTTTAACACAATAACGATTTTTGTTTACATTTGATTATGTACATTAAATAAAATATATTGGCATTTTCCGATTCCGATTAAACTCATGTAGTTTTTATTTGGGCAATCGAATTTGTCTGATGTTCTTTATTTATTTATAGGTTAGCCCCCTGTTCGAAATAATAATTGATTTTTTCTAAAATGTATGCAAGTTCCGGACATCAATAAAAAATGTGCAGATAGTAAAATTATAAGGTGTAACAGTGTGACTAACAGTTTTTTTTAAAAAAATAACTTAAACGGATAGTTTTTAAACAATATAACGTTAAAGTAAATTTTTCTTTACAAATTTAAGCTATACCCAATAAATAGCTATCGAGTATAAGGGATGTAATGTTTCATGTGTATATCAGTACTCATTATTGTACAATTTCAAAGAAGTANCGGTGTAACTAACCGTTTTATTAAAAAAAATAACGTAAACGGATAAGTTTTTATACAAAATAACGTTAAAATAATTTTTTCTTTCCAAATTTAAGCTCTACCAAATAAATAGCTATCGAGAAAAAGGGATGTAATGTACATGTGTATATCAGTACTCATTATTGTACAATTTCAAAGAAGTAAAGGGATGGTCTCATTTTCTATTATAATAATGTATTATTAGTGTGTTAATTGTTATTGATTGTTTCTTAAAGAATGCCTCAATATTTTTATCCAAAACACAAGGAGGAAATTCGACCGATCTTTGCAACTGAATCCGTGACTGCCGTTAATTGGAGTTTTTTTTTTTTTTTTTTTAAATTAAGATTTAAATATTAAAATCAAAGAGAATTGTAAAATTTTCATTTTATTTGTCCTTTATTTTGATTTCAATTTTTACAGCAAATGATACGAAAATTAACACCAAACTCTATTCTGAACATACTTCTTCGAACTTTGAGAATTATTATGGACCTTGGTATTTTTTGTTATTCCTAAACTTTATATCGAATGTAATGTCAACAACATTCCTAATAGATCAAACAACATCCTTGGTTATATTCATCAAACCTGGGCTGGTTTTAATGATTCATTAAACTAATAATTTAATACTGAATTACACTGAAGTAACTGATTATGTAAGCAATAATGTTTAGCCGAGATGCTTCTACTTGGCGGTTAGCATCAACAACAACATTTTTGGAGAAGACACAAATATATTAGGATGTTTGGGGATTATGGGCTAGACGACCACATTTATATATGCCGTTAAAAAGTGATTTAACGGGAACGTGCGGCAAGGCCCGTACGTTATTATATTTAAATACAAAAAATTAAATTAAGCA